AATTTCTTAGCTCTTTACCCATCATCCCTTGTAAATTTTGATGCACCAAATTGAATATGTTAATAATTGAAACGTTAACGTCTTTTGATGGGTGTTGACGCATCAATTCCTCTTTCGCGAAGTCGGGAAAGACGGAGGCAGCGCGGCGCGGGAGGGGGTAGCAAACCGGCGGACCGGCGAGCTCCGCCAGCGCGAACACACTCTCACAACCCAGCTCACTTCTGGAAATAGGACTCAACAAGCTACAAGAGCGCAATATTATGTACAATATTAATTTGCATAAAACCAATAATTAATGTCAATGATTTGTAATTTAACGGCAGACATCACAAACCACCTAAGAAACAAAACACAAAGGAAATACAGTCTGAAATTCACAATCAAGAACAATGGGTATAATCTAGTTGTTGTATTAATAGATTTGTAATTGCAAGAGTGTGACTCCTTTGTCTTACTAATTAATTTAAATTGGAATTAGATTCCAAAGTCTTAAAACCATGTATATTTTTTCTACTTGCTCAATAGAAGCAGGTGTGTTTTTTTAAGCTATATGTGTATAAAATACCTGTAGCGACCGTTGTACTTGTCTAAAAATTTTTATTAGTTAAATCTTAAATATGTTCATTTTTTGATGTCCTTAAATACTAAATTTTATTATATTATTTATCTATATTTAAATGATATTTTTGGAGGTGCCAAGATGCGTTATTATTAATCGAAGCATTATAAATTTCATTATTAATATTAAATTCTAATTTTGTTTTCTTCGGGACACAGTCCTTGCAAGTAAGGAAAGCGTGAAAACTAATGTATTTTTTTAATATTTAACATATTAATTGTTCAACATAATGCAAAATTTGTTTTTGGTTAACGTTTTCTCTCCTCCCTAACATAATTATTATGACTGTGTTTAGACAATGTGTGGTATTTAAAATCTTATCAAATATTTGTGCTGGATTAGCACCTGGCATACAGTAATTAATCACATGTTGTCCAAAACAAAGGTCATGTAATGCCACACCCATCTGTTTCCCCAGCTCATCACTAAAAATTTTATTTTAATTTTGTCTTCTCTAGAAACTTGTGAAGATGCAGTAGTAGGTAGACAGATAGGTGCTGCCTTCATAATATTATTGCTTTGAGACTCTAGCACTAAAAGAATAGACACATTATGTTTTTGAATTTCAAGACCGGATGTGTGGTAGCTGCCTGACAACCCGCATTTACATTCAGCGTACTGCATTGTCAAAGAGTCAAAACGCTGTTGATTATAATTACAAGTATCAATTAAATTGTCCATTGCCAACACATGCTCACTAATGTCCCTCTGTGCTAGTTCATAGTTTAATGTAATGTTCTCTAAACTTGACTTTAAATTGTTTATTTGTGTAGATAAACATTATTTGATGTGTTTTTTTTATTGCTTAGATGGGTGGACGAGCTCACAGCCCACCTGGTGTTAAGTGGTTACTGGAGCCCATAGACATCTACAACGTAAATGCGCCACCCACCTTGAGATATAAGTTCTAAGGTCTCAGTATAGTTACAACGGCTACCCCACCCTTCAAACGAAACGCATTACTGATTTTTGATGAATTTAGTTGACTCTGTTCAGTCAGATACAGGGTCACCTGGGTTGAAGTGGAAGGTTTCCTCTCTTGAATGAACGTTGATGTAGTCCTGAGGGGACTGTGTAATTCCTCAATTTACGTGAGTCTGTTATATATTAATTTATAGATTTACACATATTTCCTTAGCTTTATTTTACTTAAAACTAACTGGGCTGCTCTGAGGTCTCGCAATCACTACCAGTCAGATCAATAGTAGTTATGTCAAAATTCAAGGCAGTGTCCGGGCCGAGGGCCGAACCTCCTAGGAGGTCCCCGCGCCTAGGGGGCGCGCGGGGTATGTGAGACTCAACGATCTGCAGGTGTTGAGAGCAGACCGCGGGCCCAAGGAATTTAGGGCCCACCCACTAAACGACTCCCCTGCACTCTTACACCCGGCGTCCGATCTCCGTCCGGGGTCAAAACCCGGTCAGAGTAGGGGGGTTCCCGCGGTCAACACTACAACCAGACACGCGGCGCCACCCCGAGGACGCCCGACCGACGGGTCGTCGAGGCGATAGTCGACGACCAACGACGTCAGTCTCCGCGGTACGGCGGCCCTCAGGCCGCCCGGGCGATGCCGCTGGTGTTCCGGGATACCCCTCTGGGCCAGAACCAGCCTGCCGGGCTGCCGGGTCGGAACGCGATACACCGCCGACCGGGTTGCTCTTCCACAGTATCGGCGACGACAGCGACGACGAAAATGCGGACCGCATCGCAGTCCGCAGCCGCCGACGCGCCGTCCCGTCCTCCTGGTGCCAGCGCGCTAGAGTGACGGTAGCGTGCGGCGCAGCCTCAACCCCCTTAGGTCGCCCCGTGACCATCACCGGGAGGAGACTGCCTCCTCATAGGGGCGGAGCTGGACAAACGCCCTCCTCCGACCCCCGGCTCGACGGCGGCGGCACGGCGCCGAGAGGGAAGAAGAGCTCTCCCTCTCCCGTTCCGCCGCCTCCTTCTGCGAGATGGTGGACTCGCAGAAGTCGAGCATCGCCTGCCAGGACTCGTCGCTGCCGAGCATCGTAGCCACGACGGTCGGAAGCGACAAGTCCGGTCCTATTTTTGCAACGAGGACGCGGCGCTGCTCCGCGAAAGCGGTGCAGTACGCGAGCGTGTGCTCCTCCGCCGTGTCCTCGTTGCAGCCACTGCCAATGGTGGCATTCGTGCGTCGGCTCCCTCCGGGCGACGAGGTGCAGGGGTAGCGACCGAAACAGCCGTGTCCCGTGAGCACCTGCGTCGCTCGGAAGGTGAGACGTCCTCGGTCGCGATTCACCCAGTCCGAGAGGACCGGGCGGATCGCCTCGATGGTCCGTCGCCCGTAGGCGGGGTCCGCCAGGCGGCGAGACCACGCCTCGAGCACGGCACTCCGAGATTGAAGCTTCCGCGCTCGAACTTCCGCCGCCCCGGGATGCGGCTCCCCCCTGGAGCGGAGATCCCACATCTGCCCACGCTAATCCGAGCAAGCGCCGCTTCCAGGTCCCAGGGAGGCGTCCCGGCGAGCACGCACGCCTCCTCGAACGAGACGGTGCGGTACCCACGAACCGCCCTGACCGCAATCGCGCGCTGCGGACGTCGCAACGCTGCGACGTTGTCACGGGTCAGGGCGTGGCACCATACGGGCGCCCCGTACAGTGCCATTGACCGCACCACCCCCGTGTAGAGGCGGCGCCACCATGTCGTGGGCCCCCGAGTATCATTTTAAAATAAATTACAATAAAATATGTAAAAAAAAGAAAATTTACGAAGTTGCCGGTCAGATTACCCTCAAATTACAAAATATTAACACACTCACCAAGCAAAATTACAATTAAATAACGTTTTAAAGCACTATTTATAATATAGTTTTACTTATTTATACACCTTTAACACTACTTTGATATGTTTTAATGATATTACGAAGTGTTAGTTTATTTTTAATTAATTTATTTACGGGAGCAGAGAAATCGAACCGAACACAACCGAACCGACCATAGACACAGGTAGATTCTTTATCGATAATAATGTTATACCTTTGAGAACTAACATCGTTTTGTTTTATTTATTTTTGTTTCTTGAAATTTCAATTTCTATTTACTACAGGAGGTAACGGAGTCGCGATGAACACTAAAATAATTTATTATATGAATAAAAGTAAAATTTTAATAAAAGTAAAAGTATTAGTGTTACTTTTAATTTTTGAGGATTATGTTTGTTAGGTATTATACATTACTTTATTATTTATAGCGTTTTGTGTAATAGATATTTTTGTAGTATATTTTTATGTTTTCGCGACTAGTACTGTAGGTGTTTCTACTATATTTATGTATATTAGTTCATATTATTTATTAATTTACATTGTACACCTACGCAATATTTAATATTATATCATATTTAATTACGTATTCTATAACACACTCTCATACAGTACACAAATACGCTAAACAATCATACATTCACAACACTACTCAAAATTATATTATTTACACAAGCATAGTCGGGCGCAACCGCTAGTATGCGGCAAAGACCCCGACTATGTATAACTGCGTACGTACTGGTCGTCGCCTGCGCCACGACTCGGCCGCCGCTCGCGGCCAGTCGGGTTTGATCAACGCTACGCTAAGACTGTGTCACTCCTCGACTTACGCGTACTCTTTTGCTTCGTTACGATTTATTGCTTTCGTCTATTTCGTATTATTGTGTTTGAACTTGCTACCGCTTTATCTGTGCCTTCTGTACTCCGTAATTTCTCCTTCTTAATATTGTTATACCGTCTGTGATTGGAAATAAACTGTCCATCCAATTACGGACTCGTTATTGTGCCGCCCGGCACTGGTGACCTTACCATACACCACCAACACCAACCAAACTGGTGACCCACGACTACGAGCACCCCGGAGAAACAGATGTCGGAATCCAGCGGATCGGACACGGCGCGTTCGCAGGTAACTACACGACCACGTCGACACGTCAAGATGGCGTCGCCTGTCGAGCCAGCGTGCCCGAATACAGAACTACCCTCAACACACATTAGGATACCACCGTTCTGGCCTGAAAAACCCGAAATATGGTTTGCGCAAGTGGAAGGACAATTTGCCATCATGCGAGTGACTGACGAGACGACAAAATTTTATCATATATTGGCCAGCCTCGATCGCCAATATGCCGCCGAGGTAGAAGACGTGCTCACCGGTCCTCCCGATTACCAGCGGCTTAAAGAGGAGCTGATAAAAAGGTTGTCGGCGTCCCGCGGTAACAAGGTGAAGCAGCTATTGACGGACGAACACCTCGCCGGACCGGAGCTACCGGAGGACTTCCTGCGGACTATATGGACCAGCCGGCTACCAACCACGTTGCAGCCGATCGTCGCGTCGCAGTCGACGCTTCCATTAGACGCACTCGCCGAGCTCGCCGACCGTGTCCACGAGATCGCAGCACCAATCCACCACGTCGCGGCAGCTGTGACGTCATCATCACCATCATCATCTGCGTCATCACAAATCAACCGGCTGTCCCAACAAGTAGCGGAGCTGACGTGGCAAGTCAGCGCCCTGACGACGCAGGTGCATCATCAACCGCGGCCGCAGGAGCGCGGGCGCGAACGTGGACGTCAACGACAACGCAGCCACTCATCATCACGCCGGTCGCAGTCACACTACCGCAGGGACCCCATTTGCTGGTACCACAGCAAACACGGCGCCGAGGCGCGGAAGTGCGTGCGACCCTGCGACTACAAGGCGGGAAACCCGACAAGCAGGCAAGTGATGGCGACTGACGACTGCCACAACTCTACGGGTCGCCTCTTCATCAAGGACCGCAGCAATAATATAGACTTCCTCATAGACACTGAAAGTGACATTTGTGTTTACCCTATTTCTAAGTTGTGTGAACGCCGTTCTAAGACTAGTTATCAACTCAGTGCTGCCAATGGTACAGTTATAGACACTTATGGTTATACGCAATTAAATGTTAATTTAGGCTTACGCCGCAACTTTCCATGGCGCTTTGTTGTTGCTGACGTCACAAAAGCCATTATAGGCGTCGATTTTTTGTCTCATTATCGACTCATAGTGGACGTCAGCCAACAAAGATTAATCGATAGTCTTACCAATATGAGCACTGTAGCCAGCTAGATGTAAATAATAATCGTGTTACTAGTGTTAAGATAATGACAGGTGGCGACAGTAAGTACCACGCTATCTTGGCTGAATACCCGGAGCTAACACGCCCAGCTGGTACTGCCAGGTATTGTCAAACACAACACGAAACACTACATACGCAGCTCACCAGTCCACCGTAGCATGTCTCTACCCCGTCGTCTCGCGGCCGGACATAAACTGAAAGATGCAAAAATAGAATTTGACATTATGATAGCCAACGGAACTGCACGTCCGTCTGACAGTCCATGGTCATCCCCACTTCACCTTACTACCAAGAAGGACAACGGTTGGCGACCATGTGGTGATTACAGACATATAAATTCACGCACAATACCCGATCAGTATCCGATTCGTCATATACACGA